GGACTTCTCTGACCAACATTATCAGTTGCCAATCTTCAGAGGACAGACCTTATTAGTACCAAAGGAAAAACCTTAGAGCTAATTCAGTAGGCATTTTAAGTGGACTTTTAAAACATTTTTACCCACCAACTAAAGACCAAAAGAGCAATAGGAAACAAATGACCATAAAATAAATTTTCTATTGCTGGAATAAAAGAAAAACATAGAAATTGGCATCTCTGCCCTGCTGTTCCAATGACAGGAATTTCAAGTGATACTCAAAGAACTTTGCTCTTTTATCCCAGCCAYGCCCTCTTGTTTTTGTTCTGATGTTTGTTTCTATTATCGACCACAAATATATGAGGCAATTTTGTGCCTATTTCCTAAATATATTTCCTAAAGCTAGGCTCAGTTCTATTAACCTTTATGCAGTAATTTATAGTTAAGGTTTCGATGGCACCAGTGCAAGTAAATAGTGTCTGTGGTCTCTGCCATCAGGGGGAAAGTGCTGTGCTTAGGTGGCTCCAACACATTTACTCAGAACATTATTGAAGCAACTGCTGAGATCTCTGTAGGAGATTATTTGGCGAAATCCTATAGAAGATAAACATTGCTTTATCACAAACCTTTTGATGTGTCTAAAGTTTCAGGGAATGGTGTGGAATCCACACCTTTTTTTATCATCAGTTTCTGAGCCACATCTAAAAAGAAGGAATTTAGGAAGCCATAAATCTCAGGGACTTTCATATTTCCTTATGATTGGTCATCCAGGATGAATGGTTATGAGAAATCTCTCTCCATGTCAGGAGTGAATATAAAGAAAATAGAGACACCTCTGGCCAAGTTAATGTCATGGAACAAATTCTTCAATTTCCTTTACAGCCTTCTTTTTATTTTCTCTCACCCAAAAGCTGCCTATCTCTGGCCTGTCTCCAGAATTTCCCACCCAGAGTCATAGAAGAGCCTAAAGCATACAAAACGGCCCAGTCAATCCACTGCTTAAAGCTCCCCAGAAACTTAAATCATTTCATATCTACTTCCATGCATCCATCCATCCATTCATTCATCCATTCGCTCTCTATCATTCTGTTGGTCTCCTGTGTTTGTGAGGCCTTCTGTTAGATGCAGAGATACAACTGTGAACTGTGAACAAGATGGACATGGCTCTTCTCGTGGAGCTAGGAAAAGAGTGACCGAAAAAGATAATTTCACAAATAATTATTTAATTGTGGTTGGATAAGTGCTCTAAAGAAAAGCATGAATGCAATGAGAGAATAGAACACAGGTTTCTGTTCTAGTTTGTGTATACAAGTGCAGGAGGCCAAGGAAAGTTTTTCCGAGACAGTAGCATTTGTGCTGATTTCTGAAAGACAAGTAGGAATTCTTCAGGCAAATGGTGTCTATGGTGGAGGTGGGGGGGTTGGAAATCGGAGGGAGTAAAATGAAGGAAAAGAATTGGGTAGCCAGATAAGCAAGAAGGATGGCCCTGATGTATGAAGGCCCTCAGCATAGCTGATGAGGGCCAGGAGGTCCATGTGGCCAGAGCATGGCAAGTGGGGGAGTGGAGGGAGTGATATGGCCCAACTCCACCCTTGGAAGGGTGTAAGGAAGACATAGCCGAGTTGTCTCAGTCTATCCCCAGGACCTGTGACCCTCCTAGGTATGCCCTAAATCCCACCAGATTGCATCCGTGGGGCGAGAGTAAATGACATTGGTTCAACACTACAGGTGATGTAGAGTCAATCAAAAGCATAAGCTTGTAGATCTCACTTGAACACCAACTTGAATAAACCAATGTTAAATAGACATTTTTGGGACACTGGGAAAAATAATTTAAATTAAAAATATATAATATAAAGAAATTATTAATTGGTTGGCACAAAATGGTAATGTGTTTGAGTAGGAAAAATCCTCATTTTCTCAGAGTATCTAAGAGTTAAGGGGAAAATAAATCAAAAGGAAAAAAAAATAACATTGGTCATCAAGCTGGCTCTGTGGTGGTGTTCTGGAAAAAAAGTAAGTCTGGAACAAACCATCTGCCCAAAGGAAGGACATGAATTTAAAATATGCACTTTCGGGCTGGGGATGTGGCTCAAGCGGTAGTGCACTGGCCTGGCATGCACAGGTCATTGGGTTCGATCCTCAACACCACATACAAATAAAATAAAGATGTTGTGTCCACCGAAAACAAAAAAAATAAACATTAAAAATTAAAAAAAAAAATAAAATATGCACTTTCTTTTTAAGTTTCTTTTATTGGTCTGGAAATTCAGGTTATACTAATAAAATTAGTAAAATTTTAAAGTTGAAATTAGTGAGGGTGAAGGTGATTACCATTAGTAAGTATTTATGCAACCACGAATAAATCCACAACGGAGCACCTACTATTCATCTGTGATGATTCACACATATACACAATGTGCTTGGGGTTCCTTACCTAGAGATTTTCTATCCAACGAGGAGCACTTGAAATGTTGATTCAGCTTCAACCCTTGGAAATTAGTATTTGTACCAGTACTCTGCAATATTAATTGTATCCATTTTGTTTCCATATTTCCTCAGAGTGTGCAGCTTGGGAAAGGACATCATTCATATGCTTTGGGGGTCTTAATGCTGGCTGACTCTCTATTCCAAGAATAGTGAACAATGTGCTCCAGTGGATGAGGGCTCGAATGGAGTGGAACATAGCACAGCATGAAATTCCACCTGCCAAAGATGGCAATCAGGGTAGCCAGAGAGCCCCAGGCTTCAAAGCCATAAGAATGGATTGCCAGACAAAATACAGGCTTCCCAGTTAAATTTGAAATTCAGACAAACAGTGAGTAATTTTTTATTATAAGTGTGGCCCTTGCAACACTTATCCTTAAAAAGATAAGTGCATATTTATCCTTAAAAAGATTAGTTATTTATCTGAAGTTCAAATTTAACTGTGCATCCTACGTTCTATTTTACTTTCTTTTTATTTTCTAAATCTGGCAAACCTACAGAGGAATGAATGAAGTGTAAATGGACAGATGGAAAAAGCCAGATGTCAGGAAAGAAGAAAATGTGGCACCCAAATTATTCATTCCCAGAAAGTCTTGGAACTAGGGGCTAAGAAATTCAGATTAGTCCCTTTGAGATAGGTAGGAGGATTAAGGATTTGTGACCAAAGAAATACAAACGTGATTGTTATTTATATAAGGCTGTTAAAGAAGGAGGTTTCCATGATCATTTTCTGTCCCAGCCACTGGGTGCTCTTCATTAATTTATTGAGCATTTGTCTGAACTACTGAGTGCATACGAAGAGGAATGATAACAAACTCTCATTGCCCTTCAAGAGTAATAGTCTAGTAGCAAAGAATGTCCACAGATTCCAGAATTGCATTCTGGAGCCAGATCACCTGGGCTCAAATTCTAGCTCTGTCACTAGTATTTCTTTATACCAATTATTTAAGCTATCTGTGATGATCTGGGAACAGTAAGCGAATTTATCTTGTATCACTATTGTAATCTTCCAATGAGCTGACATGAAAATTCTTAGGCTAGTGCCTAGCACATGTTGAGGTCATTCAAGCAGATTTGTTTATAAAAATAATCAATAAAAAAGATACATAGTAAATGTTTTTCTAGAAAGAGATCTTGAATAATGCCAGTGGGGAGAATCCATTCCAGGGTACAGGGAACAGTATGAGCAACCATGCAAAATGTGCTTTAGGAATAGCAAGTAATTACTAAAGTTATTTTTTGTGTCTGCAAAACAAAACCAGAAAGGAGAGATGGGCCCAGATTACAAGGCCTTGAATGCCAGGCTAAAGAGCTGTGGATCTGTCCTGCAGTGCTAGAGGAACACTAGGAAAGTTTGAGTAAGGGAGATGCAGGAGTGTTGGGGACAGGTTGATTTTGTCTTTGTGTCTTTGACTGTGGAACTTGGAGGCTTAGGCAATAGGTAATCATTGCATTCATAGTCAGTGCCAGACATTGTGAGCAAAACAGTCCCTGCTATCATGTAGGTTACAGTCTGGAGGAGAAAGAAGACACTGGGTAATTACACGGTTTAAAGTTATGAAGGGGAATCCCAGGATGTTATGAGATCTCATAAGGAACCTAATGTAGTTGGAGGAGACAAAGTGGGAACTTAAAGAGGTGACACCTGGCTGAGAGGTAAAGATATGCAAGAATGAGTCAAGTGGGGACTGGGGAGAGAAGAACTGGCCAAGTAGAGGAACCGCACAAGCACTGTCTCAGGCAGGAGGAGAAACAGCCCTCTAGACCTTCTGAATAAAGTTCCTTGGAGGCACAGCCTGGGAGGCGGGAATGTGCTTTAAGATAAGGGAGTGTTAGGCAGGGTTAAATTCCCACAGCCTTAGCGGCATTGGTCAAGCCAGGAATCAATATCTGGCCCAAACACAGGCTCCTTGAGCCTCTTCAGCCCTGAGTAGGTGGCCTGGAGTAAAATATCAACTGCCTAAAGTAAACAATGCCTCTATGGGGGGGAGGGGGTGGTGGTGTTTGAATATGAGAGACCCAGAAATAGAGAAGATTGACACATACTTAAAGTACAGTCAGGTGGCAATGCAGGAGCAGACATGGGCCTTGTAGACCACAAAAAGGATCTTTATTTTTATTATTAAGAACAAATATTGGTGGGAATGGTGGGGGCCTGAGAGTCACATAAACAGATATAAAGAAGGGAGGTGGAGACCTGGCAAATATGTTCACAGTGACACTTCTCTCTTAGTTCCCTTCCTCTTGAATGTGAGCTAGACTTACTGATTTGCTTCTAACAGAATGCAGCAAAAGTGATTTGTGTGTGACTTCCATGATTAGGTTATAAAGAGACTGTGGCTTCCATCGTGAGTATGAGCATTCTCTCTTTCTCCCTACCCCTGACCCCCACTCCTAAAAGCCAGCTATAATGTTGTGAGCAGACCCATGGAGAGACCTACACAGTGAGGAAGTGAAGGTTCTAGCCAATAGCTGACAAGGAACCGAGACCTGCAAAAAACTACATGAGTGATCTTAGAAATTATAGTTATCTTATGCTCACTTTGGCAGCACATATACTAAAATTGGAATGATACAGAGAAGATTAGCATGGGCTCAGTGCAAAGGCGACATGCAAATTTGTAAAGCGTTCCATATTTTTTAAAAAAAAGAAAGAAATTATAGTAATCTTAGTCCAGCTCTAATCAAGCTTTGAGACTACTATAGTCCCAGATAGGACCAGCTAAGTTATGCAACTTGCAAGTTCACAACCGTTAGAAACTTTATGGCATAAGAAATATGTTGTCTTTAAGCTGCCAAACTTTAGCATAATTTGCTATGTAGCATTAAACAACAAATATAGATAGGTGAATGAAATCAATATTATATAGTAGAATTCCTAGGACTTTGTGATCATAACTATTGGGTACAGGGGGAGTAAAAGGATTTTGAGCTTTGGGTCTGGCTCACTGAGTTTCCAGTTTAAAAAAGGATTAGGAGCATAGAAGAAAACTTCAGGAGGAAGAAAATAATTTCCATTTTGAACTCCATGAATTTGATCTTGAGATTTTCATGTGGAAGTGTCCCTAGGGATTTAGAAATATGGAAAAGTGTTAGAGTGGTGAAGGTTATTTTAACAGAACTTATTTGGATAGAGGAGAACCACTGCAGTGGAGAGCATTTCCATGGAGGGCAAAAATATAAAATAAAGACAGATGAGAGGCAAACTACAAGGATTGAAAATAAGTCTGGTTCCAAAGGAGGAAAAAGAGAGTACTACTCAGAGGAAAAAATAAAGACTCTAAATGAAGTTTTGTATTAGTCTTCTATAACAAAGTACCTGAAGCAGAGAAACCTCTGAAGAAAAGAGGTTTATTTAGCTAATAGTTTTAGAGATGATTTACTCTGGAAATCCCTCCTCCCACCTTTGCTGAATCACTTAATGGCGGGTGGCAATGGTAGGAGTATGTGTGGGAGGAATAAATCACCAAACAGGAAGCAACAGAGGCTGGAGTTTAGTAGTCCCTTCTGAGGAAATGCTCTCCATCCATTGAAGAATCTCCCACTAAGCCTACCTCTTAAAGAAACCACATCTCCTAACAGTATTATTCTTGGGACCAAACTCCCAACACATGAGCCTTTGGGAAACACTTAAACCAAATCCAAACCATGGCAAATTTTTGATAAGGAGAAGGTGGGTTTTTTTTTTTTTGTTGTTGTTGTTGTTGTTGTTTTGGCAGTAACTGGGTACTTTACCACTGAGCTACATCTCCAGTCCTTTTTTTATTGTTTATTTTGAGACAGGGTCTCACTAAATTGCCAAGGCAGGCCTTAAACTTGCAATCCTCCTGCCTCAGCCTCTTGAGTAGCTGGGATTACAGGCATGTGCCACTTCACCCAGCAAGGAGAAGGTGTTTAACAAGGTCAAAAACTGTAAAAAGAGATTCCTATCTCTGGAAAGACCTAACTCATGTTGTAAATCTGCACATTGGATTATCTATAAATCTCCTAGCCGGTATCAGTCAACTCTAGGCTCCACAGATGAAATCAAATGTCAAGAGCTATAGGGCAGAAAACCTGCCCCTGAACTGCAGTGACCCCAGCAAAGTAAAGCTCTCCCTGGGTACCTATATGTCTTTCTATAATATCTCTCTCAAACTCTAGAATGTCTTCTCTCACAATGCAATGGGATAGGGGTGGGATTATCTTTGGATAACCTGCTTTTTTTATAATGGGGATTTTTTAAGTTGAAAAACATGGAGACCTTCTCACTTATGAGGGTAAGGATACTTGGAAGGGCTGAGAAAGCAAACAATTTCCAGGGTTATATGTCAGGCCTTCTGGAGAATTAGAACATTGCTCTGAATGAAGCCGCAGTTTCTCTAGCAGCCTGTAATTCCTGAAGTTTATGCAGGCCTAGGAGGGAGGGCTTTGATAAACTGAAAAAGGCTGGTGTTATTTCCTGCTCACTCTACCCAGCCCTCACCAGTCAGATCCTGCTCTTCATTCCTATTCATTCATTCAGCACCTCCTAGGTACTAGGTATTTTTCTAGTTTGGTAAGTTCATAAAGGTTGACAGAAACTCTACCCGAAAAGAACTGACTATAGGAGAGGAGAGAGCAGATTGTCTTCTCATCTTTCTTTGGCCTAGATTGCCTTGATCTTTCCTCTTCTCTCCTTTACTTTGTGCATTTTTTTTTTAAACATGCCTATTGATGGTTCCTCCTTTGTCTGTTTCTTTACTACTCTTGTCAAGGATTTATACAAACTCTAACAGACTCTGGCTATACAAACACGGAGAAAGTTAAGGTAGTTTCCTTCTCCAATATACTTGGAGAAGGAAAGCAAGACTCTGGAGGGAGAAGGTAGTTATTAATTTACACCTCTATAATGCTTGAATTTTTATAAGCTTTTATTTAGAAATTATCTTTTATATTAGAAAAATTAATAAGTAAAAACTTTTTATATATAAAGAAGGAAAAGAAATGTGTGATTGGGAACAAATGGAGTTGGTAAAATTTTCCATGACTCTATTGGCAAGATTGTTTCAGTTTCATTAAAGAAAAAAAAAAACCCTCTCAAAGGAAGCATTGTGAAGTGAAGGAGGAACATACTATAAAAGTGACTTAAAAAAAAATTCTCTCTTTTGTCTATTAGATTTGCATGATTCATATAAATTGCTTTGTGAKTTTTGAAACTCAAGTGACTGAATTCCCACTTTATTATAGAAAAACAATTGACATGATAAAATAAACCAGCAATTTAGAAGCTGGGATTTTAGAGGAGAGCAATGGAAAATTTGGTGGTAAGGGGCCAACAGGCTTGGTTTGGTAGACGTAAGAGCTTCCTGTACCGTGGAATGCCTACGTGTGAAATCACCAGTCAGTACATTTGCAATACCTCAATAACATGACCGTTTCTCCGCCCGTCCTTCTTCCCCACACTGAGTTCCAGTTTCAACCCAGGCTACTTACTGTGAAGCTTTACAAAGAAAGGAGGAAGTAACCTACCAACTGAGGCAGCAACCTGTTTCAAATACCACATTCTTAACCAGATGAAAGTGTCTTTAATCACATTTACCAGTAATGCTACGTGATTCAGGGTGGATGGTCTAAATCTTATATTTAATCATTTTTCTGTGCATGGACCTTTCAAATTTATTAAGTATTATTTAAAAGGCCCAGCCTTTCTGGAGGAGAGTTAGCAGACAATAGAGGAACCTAGCAAAAAATTGGTTTTCTGCTGCTGCAAGATTGCACTTGCTCCCTCATCTGAACTAAAAAGGAAGCAAAAATGTGATATTTAAGTGGCCAGGTCCTTTTGTCTTATCTGATGAGAGCTCCTGTTTCTACACTCCTGTAGGATGCTAAAGATGCTAAAGGGTCTCCAAGTGGAGGAATTAACTTCCTGCTCAGTAAAAGCAAATAGTTCTGCAGGGGAGAGGGCCAGTGGGGCCCAGTAATCCCTGGCAACACACCAGGGGCTGACAGAGGAAATTACCATGTTTGCAAAAATTGATAGGCTCCAGAAAGAAACCAAAGTTTAACACTTTGGCATTCCTCTTAAAAAATTAGGCAAGAGGGGCTAGGGATATAGCTCAGTTGGTAGAGTACCTGCCTTGCATGCACAAGACCCTGGACTCAATCCCCAGCACCAGAAAAAAAAAAAAAAAAAAAATTAGACGAGAGCAAAAATGGGCAAGTTGCCACATGAGGAGTGACTAGGGAGGAAAGAAATTTGGAACCTACCACACTGGAGGTAGATAGGTCCATGGAAATGACCAGTTTAGTAATAATTCAGATAGTGCATGACCCTTAGACAAATTCAAAGTGGTATTTTAAAGGGCTATTCAATTAACAAAGCCAGTTGACAACGCCTAGGTGGTATTTGGCTGAGAAGGCAAAGCATGAATAAATATTTTAATCAAAATTGAATGTAAAACTCATTGTGCTTAGTATTGGACTTCTTTTTTTTTCCAATATTTTAAAAATTGTGAAGGGACCTTTATTTTATTTATTAATTTACTTATATGTGGTGCTGAGAATCGAACCCAATGCCTCACACATGCTAGGCAAGCACTCTACCAATAAGCCACAACCCCAGCCCAGTATTGGACTTCTTGCAATTTCTCTCTCCCAATGCTTTGAGCTTAGCTCTGACGTTGTTAAATGTAAGAAAGCAGCTAATGAGAATGTGGTAGCTTGCTTCAAGGAAAAAAAAAAAAAGCGCTTTTGACAAAACCCCAGAAGCCAAAATTATTAACAATTCTAAAAGCAGTAACAAATGTTATGGATGTTGATTCTACTGTTTATAATTTTAGAAAAATATTGTTTGCCTGTCCTTTGATTTTATGAAGCAATTTTGAAAAAACATCTATCAAAGACCTGCTCTGACTCTCCAGGTGTGAAAACAGGGTATGATGGGAAATCCAGATGGTTAAACTATCCGAAGAGGTTTTATAATTTGTGATTGGTAGAGAGAAGGAAACCTGTGTTTGAGGTACAACAGATGGGAAATGCCAACTTCATCACTTAAAGTATTATCCTCCATCCTACCCCACAATCTGGAAAAAAGCAAGGAAGTTGCTCTGCTTAAGGATAGCAGTCCTTTCCTGAATGAGAGAAACCTGACAGCCCTATTTAATTTCTCTTTGGGTTAAGATGTAGCCATGATTATCTCCATTAGTTAATAAGAGGAGCTGCTGCCAGTCATTTAAAAATAGCAATCTTATTAGAATTTTTAAAACTGACACACACAATTTACAATTCTGAAAGGTCAACTGAAAAACGTTTTTTTTTTTTTAATGATGAGGGAGTCCAAATAGGCAATGAAATGTGTATGCAAACGAATACACACATACATGTGTGCACACGAAGCATAATTATATTTTGAAGTAGCAGGAATGCATATACCCTTTGAATAGTCATCTTCCTTTGGAAAACACCACACACGTATGAGTTCTCATTGGCAGCTCAATCGTCTTCCCCAGTCCCCTTCTTCTGGCAGCTAGAGACACCCAGAAGCAAAGAGGCAAAGACACTCCTTTAAGACCATGCAGCCAATTAGTGAGAATGAAAGAGAGGGGAATATTGTATCACACATCAAATTCTATTTAATTATCTGGTCTAGCACACTCTTCAATCTTCAGAGTTCCTTTTGTC